CAACCCTTCAGATTGTGTGGCCACTGAAGCGGCTTTGGTTTCCAAGGCAGGGGGTTCACAAACAAGAGCGTGGCAGTCCGTTGAGATGGTTAGGATTGCGTTCTTGCTGGGCAGCTCCAGCGCCGTAGCATTGGAGTCGTTGATGACGCTGCGACGGAAGAAACGGTGGTGCTCTGCCTTCAGCAGTTCTCGCTCCATGGTGTGGTGGCGACGGCGGACCTCGACACCGAGACGCTCACCCACCAGCGTGTCTGAGCTGGAGCCGCTGATGTTCTTCGAAGGGGGGGAAAGGAACTTAACCATATTGTCGTTGAGATTTTCTGACATTTCTCCACTGAGTGGAGCGAGAAGTCGGGTCAAATCTTATATGCTATCCATACATGGAAATAAAAGCAGTATAAATATGTGACAACGAGAAGAGGTTGCTTCAAACCAAGTAAAAACTTGCCAAACCTCTCTCCTCTCAAAACAGCAGTTCAGATAAAGTCAATACTCTTGCAAACTAAGGTGTTGGAGAGGAGCACAGGAAGTGCTTGGTGATAAAAGTAACGCAGGATCCATGCACAGATCAAAATACGTTGTTGATGATGATGACAAAAAGGAGACCTCACATCCAGCTCATCCATCCTGTGTAAAACTGCGGGGTGTATTCAATCCACATAGGGGGTCTCCTGAGGGGGCAGGGCAGTAGCCTGCTGATAAATGTAATAATCACTTTCAACTTCGAGGTCGTGCCAGAGCACAAAGTTTAACGGTTGCGTCTGATTCACTGAAAGAGAGACAAAATGTAATTTAACCAAGGTGGTTAGCCACAGTTAACAAATTTACACTCAACTTAAATGGCTGCATGTACACAAGGCTTTTCCACAACCAGGCAAATATTAACCCGTTCAAATAAGGTTAATAAGAGTTTACTCTCACTAACTATAACAACAGGATGTGACTTTTATTATTTTAAAAATAGACCAGTCATACTGAAACTTTTAGATAAAGACAGTGTAGGAGGAAGTAACGCTCTGATTTTTCACATTTAACCCTCAAGTCAAATTCAAAACAATTTCCATATAGCACATTTCCTTAACTCTTCATCATTTATATAATTCTAAACCTATTTAAACAAACAACAAAAGTAATTTAAGCTATATCTATGCTTTAACTTGAAGTAAATTGTTCAAGACAGTGAACAAACAGTATCTGTCTTCAGGACAGTGAACATATGTTGAGGGATTAGTAAATTAGATTTGTCCTTGCCATGTGCGAACACAAAATAGTCTATGGTTTCAAATAATGTAAAGGAACAAAAACATTTTAAACAGTAGAATAACTTGTTTTTCTTTCGAGAAACTCAAAATGTAAGATACTGAAAACTGTACTTACGACTTTTCCCTCATACAGTGAGACGAAATGATTTGAGATGTCAAGCTTCCATTTTTTTTTTAATCAAAAGTCATTGTCAGTTTCTTAACCTTATCATAAGATTCTACAAGAACTGGAAAATAGGCCAAGTGTTATGTGGACTAGTTTTATAATACTTTTCAGGTGACTCCGTCCCCATTCACAATCATGGAAAAGAATGAAAAGCAAGTTTCGAAATGTCTTCCTTTCTTTTGTTTTCCACAAAGAAATGAAGTCATAAGGGATATAAACGACACAATGACATGTAGATTAATGAGTAAACAATTTTAATTTTTAGATGAACTATCCCTTTAAGTGAATCTCTTTCCACTTATTATATCTGGCGTTAACCATAAATGAGCTAGAACCAAGGTTAACTACTTGTAAATAACTAAATATTAGTCACGACAACGTTTAGTATCACTACTGACCATTTTGTCACCACATTTAAGACAAAAACTTACCATAATGTTAAGTGTCGTCGTCATCTTCTTCAGTTATCGGTGAAAAACCGACGGCCAACTCCAGGTTTAACCGGTAATTCCCCAAACGCGCGTGCTCAGTATTTGAAATAACGTTTATCCGGCGCGAAGCAAATGAAAAACTCAGCGTCTCTATCTTAACGTAATTTATATTCGGTAAAAGTCCGACAAAATGGCTAAACGTCGGTTACTGTGCCTCCGCTCTAAACCGTCTCTAGCGATCATGCGAAGCTCGAATGTCAAAACACTACAACAACGCGCCGCTTCCGCTAATGGTTGCTCGCGAGACTGCAGAGCAGGTTCTCTTTGTTATTCCCTTTCAACTGACCTCGATTCATCTTCCTTGTACACTCATCTACTGCATGACGTCGCGCGTGCAAACGATGCAGTCCAAGTTTACGTTACTGTATTTACATCAATAGGATGCTAAACAATATTTGTAAAGCTTCGAGACTACATGCATTTACGCCGACACGAAACTTGGCTTTGGGTGCAGCGCGCTACCGAGCGCCTTGTGGCTCTATTGTTGACAGACAGCGAAAGATCCCGAACAGATGTAGACGATTTGCACGCTCAGGGTTCAAGGCTACGTAATCTGCATGCCATCGATTCCCAACATTTTCGCCATCGCATAAATACGTGCTACATGAACAAACCGGTTTCGTGATAAACAATAACCCGGACTCTGTCCACTCCCCCTGCGAGAGAGAGCGCCAGCCCATGCAGCCCCCTGCTTGTCTTTAATTTATTCGAGTAATGTCTTACAGTTAGAAAATAGCGCCGCCTGCTGAAACAACGAACCTACCGTGTTTTAAAGGGACAGTTCACTCAAAAATGACAATTCTGTGAACATTTACTCAACTTGCATTATTTTGTTTCTTCAGTAGAACACAAAAGGAGAAGTCAGTCACCATTCACTTTCATTGCATCCTTTTTCATAAAATGAAAGTGAATGGCTGTTTCTACTCTCAGTGTACGTCATGATAACTTAAGAGGTCGTTTGGAATTGTACGTAATTTACCAAATTTTTTACCAAATTTTAACTAATGTAATTGATAAAAAGAGCAGGTTTTATTCTTTCATTCACTTTTTTGGATGTGAATATCAAATAAGCTTAAAACAAACCAAATATATCAAAGGTACACAAAGTAAATGCAATTTACAGACTTCTAGCTTTCTAGAAAATAGAATAAATGAAAAAAGCAAATAAAATTAAAAGCAAAGGTACAGAAACAATTTTATTTTAACATTTGTAACATTGTAACGCTCTATTTAACATTTTATTAATCTGGAAACAAAAGATTATCGGTCTGAATACTTTCCGTACCCACTGTATATATATATATATATATATATATTTGTTAATAATATTTTATACTTTATAATTTTATGCGTTATTAATATTAAAATGTTTAAAGATAAGCACTTACTAGATTGAAGCAACTCAGGGTTACTTGATCCATCTTTTGTTTTTTTAAGAAAAAGGCATGTTAAAATGTATGTATCAAATATTATCAATTTTTCAGTTATCATTGTATTGTATTGCATTATATGTTTTGCCCCCACAATAAAAACTACAGAGCTTTGATCATAAAACTAAGCATGTAAATATACTAAGATATATTATTGGTATTTATATGCAACTGATATTATGCATTTTATGTAAGTAGTCTGTTATACAGACATCATTGATTTACATTATAAGCTATCATAATTTATGGTGTTTTTTTCCCGCCTCAGTATTTTCATGATAGGCCTATATGAGCCATAAAAGCCTCATGCATCAACTATGAAACAACATAAAACACACACACAAATAATAGGCTATATTTTTAGTAAAGGGTTCAATAAAATATTCAATTTTTTTCTGATTATTTCTTAAGTCAGGCTTTACAGGGTTAAGAAAAAGAATGAAACAGAACTGTAAGTTAATAGTAGGTCTATATTAGGCATTGAAGTGTGTTGTGATTTGATTAAAGTAGATTTGCATATCATGGTTGAATTAAACACATGGAAGCATATAATAGTACACCTAACACAAAGTTTCACAGAAGAGAGAAAATCATGTTTATACAAAACATGAGAGTGTGAGTTAAAGGTGTAATAGATGATTGTCTTCAGAAACTATTTTTGTCATGCTGGTTGAAAGTCTCTTCACATCCCGATAGCAACAAGGGAAGCAGGGGAAATCTGTTGAAGTTTACTTCACTTCGGAACATTCATTCACGGATTTGCGCTGCGCAGCGTCTTCACACACAGACGAAACTTACTAGAGAAGTGTGACATAATATACCTCTGTAAATCAATACAATATAAATTTACGTCTCGCGCACTTTAATGCCCTTTGTATGGAACATATACGCTCGCTTTGAGCTGGAATCATGGCGGAATATCCGGTGATGTACACTTCCCAGGGCACTCATGGTCGAATAGAACAAACGTCGCACGTGATAAGAGATACATATGAAATCTGCAGAGCAGGAGGGCGCGAGGATTGGAATTGGGAACCGCTGATGTAGCCTATTGTAATGTTGTCTCTGGTGTTCTGGTCTGTGAGCGTAAATGCATTCAGGGGGCGTGGCTTTGCATGGCGATTGCAGGGAGGGTGGGACCTTCGCTTTCAGTGCTATCAGGCTAAAGTTAGCATTTTCCAAGATCTCCTACTGCACCTTTAATGACAGAATGTCTATTTTGTGTGAACTGTCCCTTTAAGGGGGATCAAACCCCACCAACTGGCGTTTATCTCTGTTCTCTGTCTATAAACTGACTGGGAGGTGATAAAGTGTAGCTTAGAAATTTACATGGTTTGGGGCAGGATGACTATACACAGATTGCAATTAAAGATAATATTATAAGAGTATAGGGCATATCATGGCATATATTAGAAGCAGCTTTTTTATTTTATTTTTTTTAATTAACTATACATATTTTTTCCAATTTGGACGAATTACATACTACAAGAAATCGAACATATTTGTTATAAAATATTTAAATAATGTAAGTTCTGAAAATGTATACTTCATAAAGATTATCGCCATTTAACGTCATTTTTGTGAGATAAAATATTTGTACGATTTAGTTTTTAATTTGTATTTTTTTTTTTGTAATAAAATGACCTTCGTAGCATGGCGTTGGCATTTCAGAGGCGAGTGTTGTGAGCGCGCAGCGTAGGCGTTACGTCACTGAAGTCCTCCAGCTCTGGGGAGATGCTGGTGTGTGTCTGCAAATAATAAAATCATAAAGCAATACAAAGAAAAATAGGCCGCTTCCTCTCTAACAGACATCTATTGGACAGACGGTCGTTACATATCGGATGAAACAGACCAGCCATACAAGGTAAAAAAGATTTTTGGAAAAAAAAACCCTATTGTGGTTTATAATAGGCTAAAATAGTGATGCTCGTATATGATACGTTTATTCAATATCTACATATACTGATATTCAAATAGCGCCTCTAATTTACTTAGCATTTGCTGGACAGCTATTACTAACAAAAGAGGAGGCAAATGTGTTAAGCCATGCAATGGTGGAGAAGAAGGACATTGAGGGAGGATGCTCAGGATTGTGGCTGAGCGATTGCAGGGCTGAATTTTACGGAACATTAGGTTAATATATCCGTAATCTAAATTGTACTGATATAAGAATTGTAGTCTATGATTTTACGCATTTGCAAGTCTTATTGACGTGGTGTGTGGGAAATGCCGACGCTTCTGGTTGGTTTGTCAGCGCTGTGAACAGCCTTCACCTAAATACAACAGCATTATTAATATCTGTTGTTTTAGAATATAAATCATCAGCTGAGTATCCCATAATAATGCTAGATTTGCCGTTGACATTAGATGTTTGATAACCTTGGAGTGTGAGCCTACAATATAATCCCACACCTTGTCTTCGATTCACTCATTCGGTGTGTAGCCTAAATGGGAGAAGCTTTATTACATTATCTAGTTTGTGAATTATTTTTGTAGGCCTATATGAGAGTAACGGTCTATAACACGAACTGGATTTCTATTGAGATATGTATACTAATATTATGAACAATAGTAATAGTTGACGTGGTGTGGAGGAAAAAAGCTTAACATTCCTGACTGAACATATAGCTTTTTTAATCTCTGCTGTTTGATGAAACCTACCTGTGTCAAATATTTACTTTATTTGCTGTCTGGAATTGGTTTTGAGTTTTTTTTTTACATTTTAAGGGCATTTTTAAGCATGGCAAGTCTCAATATGAACAATTATATCGGTAAGTATACCTACTAAATCAAATTAGCATTACATACAAATGTTGCTGTAAATGATGCACAAGATATCATAACACAATTAACGCTATATTTGAATATACAGTTCTCTACAGTCTACCATCCTGGTAGATTTGGACAAATTTCTAGTCTTTTGTAGAGCTGAATTTAGTGTTTTTAATCAAAAACACTTCAAAACACATCTGAGACAGAGAATAGCTACAGATATCTGCCAGCTACAGGTCATTTTGGTTTTTGTATAACCCATCCCTAGATTGGCCCAGAATAAATATATATATGGAAATATATCAAACATCAGATATAATAAATTGAAAATAATTCAATAATACCTCAAAATTTAAATGGCTGGTGCATTTTTGCCTCAAAATGGTGTAGACTCTATTTTCTTATGTGATTATAGTATTATTTTGTGTGTTTTGGTTTTTTATTTCATTTTACAGGCCACCATAGTTGCTCCATTTGACAGAAAGAGACAGAAGACCGGTCTTTGCTTGACTGATCACATTCCTTATACTTGAGATGAAAATGACCCGGCCTGTTTATTAGCACATTCCTTCACAATACATTTTCGGTGGGTTCCCTTGCTTGCACTCTAAGCCTGCCAATATGTACGGAAGTTCACGCTCTGTGAGCAAAATGGACAGTAATCACAGTGGGGGAAGAAACAACCAGGGCAACTCTGGACGCTCTCCACGGCTGCCTCGGTCACCCCGTCTGGGTCACCGTCGCACCAACAGCATGGGGGGCAGCGGTGGAGGCCCGGGCGGCTCTGGAGGCAAGACGTTGTCCATGGAGAACATTCAATCTCTCAATGCTGCCTACGCCACGTCGGGACCATTGTATATGAGTGACAACGAGGTCGCAATCTGCACTTCCTCTGACCTCCCTAAAAGCGGCGTAGCGACGGGACGCTTTGGAGGCAGCATTCCTTATGGGGTCCGGGCAACGGTTACAGGCAGCACACCGGACATGGCCATGGTGCCGGCGGTGTCCACCGACTCTATGGGCTTTGGAGGGGAGATCCACGCTGCGTCAACCGTTCCTCACTCGCTACGTCAGGCAAGGGACAACACCATCATGGAGCTCCAAGCCCAGCTCAAGGAGGTGCTGAGGGAGAACGAGCTGCTTCAGAAGGAAATCGAGGTGAAGGAGAGCAAGCTCAGCTCCTCCATGAGCTCCATCAAAAGCTTCTGGAGCCCGGAGCTGAAGAAGGAACGTGCGCTGCGCAAAGACGAGGCATCCAAAATAACAGTGTGGAAGGAGCAGTACCGCGCTGTGCAAGATGAGACACAGGTGGGTACATCTGGCAGGGTATTCTTGTTTTTTAAGTATAAGTGGACAATTAATGCTGATTGGAGAGCTGTTTTGTAGTTTCAGTGGGATTTAGGATTAATGCGTGTGCTTAAAGGAATCTAGTTTTAAATAGGGATCTTAGATAAGTACTAAAAGGCACTGTATATCTATAAAAGTGTACTCCTAAGTGTAAGGCCTTTTCACACCATAGAGGGCAACTATACATTTTTTATAATGGTTCTAATTGTATAAGAATATGGAAGTCCACACCACAGCTATAACGATAACGACACAGAGGAACGATAATGTTGAAACCAATTCCAGAACATTTTTTCGAGCTGGTGAACGATAAAAACATTGACATCAATTGACATCCAATCAGAATCTGACTTTAAAGAGCTTGAGCATTTAAAGCGATAAAACTGCAGTGCATGCTTATAATAAAAATAAGGTTACCGTGCTTTGGTGTGGATGTTAATATAGTTAACGTTTTAGTTGTCTTTATGGTTATAGATCTTGGTGTGAATGGGACTATACAAATACATGAATGATGTATTTCATCAGCTAAAAAAACAAGGTCCGATTTTGTAATATACATCTATACTATTCCTGCCATATATCATATGTAAATTATATATGTCTGAATTTGTAACATACGACTATGCTACTCTTACTGTTCTTGCCATATGCCATATATATGGCAGAAATGGTAAGATTAATATGATAGTATGCTATTGCGAATACAATGAGAGTGTGAAACGTTGAGGAGCTAGACATGTTAAAGATAGCGACAACACAACCTCAGTACAGTTATTGTTAACTACAACTAAAACTATTTAAAATAATTGAATTAAACAAATAAAATATGTTTTAATGATTTAATTTAATAAAATACTTAAAATATAGTTGAAATAAAATATACACATTAATATATTTATGCAATTATGCACATTAATGCAAATATTCATATTAGATAAGAAATGTAGACTTAAATGAAAACTTTGTTTAAACGAAACAAAAACGGAAAATGAGAAATGTTGTCTTGGTAAGAAACTAAAATAAATTGTTGAAGTAGTAAAATTACTAAAACTGAAATAAAGCTTAGTTAAAGCTATACAAAAAGAAAAAAAATGCTAAAAATAAACAAAAAAAAAAAAAGACAAAGCACATAATAAAATGACTAAAGTTTAAATTAAATTTAAAAACTGAAAACTGAAAATCTAAAAATAAAAGCATATATATATATATGTGTGTGTGTGTGTGTATATAAACACACACACACACAAGCTTTATTATATGTGTACCAAAATAGCTAAATAGCATTGCACATTAGGTGCATTTCTTTTGAATCGAAACATTCTAACACTTTTGTATAGTAAAAAAGCTAAATGCTTATATATTAAATACTTATATATAGTACAGTAGATGACAGAGAACGTAATGTATAGTGTACAGTAATACATTTGGGACACAACTTATTCAACTTAGCACATTCGTAGAAGCTTGACCTGGGCTGTGTTTGGAACAGACACTACTACACTACTCATACTATTTCTGCTGTGTACAGTTCATATTTGTCAAAATATGAATTATACAGCGCATACTGTGTTGGGTAGTGTAATATCTGTGAAATGACAAATATTTTTAATCTTTCTGATAATTATTCAAGATTTAAAAAACTGGAGATGACAACTTGATATTCGTATATTGTCATGGATAATGTTTTACATACTATTTGTTTTAATAGTAAGAAGTATACAGTATATACTGCACAGTATTCAGTAATCAATACAATAATATTTAATTCCGATCCTGAAATGCATGTGTCAGGTAGAACTAACCATCCAGGCCAGCTTAAACCAGCTAGAACCTGCAAACCATCTTAGGTTCGGTACTGCTAACTATTTATAGACAAAGATGATATAATCATCACATTTTCACTGCATCAATGCATTTTCATAGATTTATAGGAGTGAGAATTGCGTGATTAAAGATCCAGCTCATCTTCAGACGAGAAGGCGAAGTCTACCTCCGCTGTGAGGTGACGCTAATGGCCAATCCTGAAATGGACATCCATGTCCTGCTGAGTGCGGCTCACTGCTGAGTTGACTGCCTGAATTCCTGCAAGCCACAATATGTTCAATGTGCAATACATGAGCTAATTAAGGATGAAGGTCTGTTTCCTGATATTCAGTGGTTCTTTTAAATGTACTTTGAGATACTGGGACGAGTTTTGATAGCAGTAACAGTGGCGTAGTCCTCCATCTATGCTGCGTTTAAAACACGCCCTTTATTTGAATGATTAACTTCAAACTGTGATTCACTGCAACATGGCTGTCATGACAGATTTCCAGATGAAGGGGTGTACAGCACTAAGCTAATGACGGCTTGGTTATTCACTCTAAGCATAATCAGCATCATCACGCTCCTCACACCATTCGCTCAAGATTGAAATTAACACGCGAATCATCAGAGAGCTCGGATTCTGGATGTGTTATTTGGTGATTCTTGGCAAGTAGTTTTGTGCCTGTTGGGCTTAATGAGACCTTACCATTAATTATGGCACAGTTGTGTATGTGTGTGTATGATTAAGAAAATGTATAATTACCGTTGTTCCATCGCCTTTTGGCTGCCATCAAGTTTGCAGCATAGTAGTCACATTTGAATGGATGAAAGTTTATACCTTAGTACATGTTTATTTCAGTTTCCTTGCCAACTTTACAACTGGTGTTGAGGACAAGTGTGTGTGATGGATTGTACATAAGCAGTTTCTTACAGGCACAAAATGAAAATTAGGCAATGTTTTATTCACTTTTGTTGTTGGAAACCTAAACGCAAAAGGAAAAGTTTGAAGAATTGTACTGGTCGCTCTTTAGATGGTCAGTAATTTGGGATTGAGGGTTTTAAGCTTCAAAATTATTCCAGTATTCCAAGTATATCTTGAAAATATTTATTCTAAAGCCACATGATTACTTTATGTAAGAAATAAATTGGCATTTAAGCTGTTATTCACTGAAATTCAACTCTAGATCTCCTTGACGAGAGTTCATTAGAGAAATAGTGATGCCTGATATGTGAATGAATCATTCTTTTGAGTCAGATCTTTTCAATTAATCACATGATCCAGTTCATAAAACCTTAAAGGGATAGTTCACCCAAAAATGAAAATTCTGTCATTAATTACTCACCCTCATGTCGTTCCAAACCCGTAAGATTGATAAAATAGTCCACGTGACTATTTAGTGGCTCAACTACTTAGTGGTTCAACCGTAATGTTATGAAGCTACAAGAATACTTTTTGTGCGCAAAGAAAACAAAAATAATGACTTTATTCAACAATTTCTTCTCTTCCGTGTCAGTCTCTGTCACGCATTCACGAGAGTACGACGCATGTAGTTACAAATGAGATGTTTACATGATAACTCTTCTCAGTACTTACTCGTATTACTGCTTCTATGAAAGATGATGCTGTAGATTGAACTGTATTCACTGATGAATAAAGAGAAGCTTTCTATGAGATGCCATTATAAATAATAGGATAACAGCTGATAAATCATGGGAAACGTCTTGGCTGTTAACCCTCCCTTATATCTGTTCCAAAATCTACCAACAGACATTGTCACTGGATAATGAACTACTTCTGTTTTAAATATTTTTTGAAAGAATTGTGAGTAAATATTGCATATTACTCTCCTCTATCCATCATAGCACCTGCAGACAACTGTGCAGGCACTGCAGGCCGAGCTGCGTATCCAGCGCGACTTGAATCAGCTACTCCAGCCCCCCGGGGAGCCGCTGGCCTGCGAGCCCAGCGAGGAGCAGGAGCGGCAGGCTCGAGAGGTGTTCTTGCTCCGCCGTACCCTGGGGGAGATGGAGGTTCGCCTGGAGACCCAGCGGCAGACGCTAGTTGCTCGCGATGAGTCAGTCAAAAAGCTCCTGGAGATGTTGCACAGCAAGGGACCCTCCACTAAAGCCAGTGAAGAGGATCATGAGCGCACACGTCGCCTCGCAGATGCAGAGATGCACGCGCACCACCTGGAGAACCTTCTAGAACAGCGTGATAAAGAGCTAGCCGCTTTGAGAGAGGTATGTGATAGCTAGTTCAAAATCTAAGTGAAAAAATATGAAAATTATATAATATGCTAAAAACAGTGTTACATATGGCACAATATACAAATAGGGTAAAATATAAATGAATATAAATAGGGTAATAATATACATAAATAGGGTAATACTTTTAAAATGTAAATAGGCAAATATATCTCAATTCTATAAAAATTATAAAATAAAAAACAATACCAAAATCTTAATGTTTAGCTGTTTTTTCCCATTTCAAAAATGTATATTCCTTGAAAATTACAATATTTAAAATTAACATACAGAAAACATATTCTATTTCTTAGATTATACACTAATTGTGTTTGTCTGCATTCATCAAGCTCAGCCTTTCAACTGTTACCCAAGTTATTGTCAGAAAAATTCTAATATATATATATGTATATATATATATTTTTTTTTCATTCAATACCCACTCTAATGTAGTATTTTTATTCATTTTTTTTGTTTTAGAAAATAAGTGTTTTTTTAATATTTATATAATATTTATTGCTATAAAACAAATTTGAACAAATAACTTTTTTTTGTATTTTGACATAATACAGTTTGAATAACATTTACTGAAATGACAAACCTCATATAAAATGAATAGCACATACAACAGCTCACTCATTTAGTACAACTTCATGAGGATGACAACCAACATTTTCTGAAGGTTAAGCACCTCCTTTCACTGAACATTTGCTAAAAAAAGAAATAAAAAAGGCATTTTTAAAAAAGTTTAGTGCCATATACAATCAACTAACTGCAGTGAATTAAAGCAGAAAGACTATTCTCTCTTCATGCTCCATTATACCACATTCAGTCACATAATGACCACAGCTATTCTCCTCAAAGTGCAAAAAAGAAGGATACTTAATTGAACTAGATAGCAGGAAACCCTATTTGTACCTATAATAGAGTACAGCTCCTGCAATGTGATAGAGAATTCAGCCAAAACTAAACAGCGCTGCTCTCCCTCAAGGTATGATGAAATATCTGAGAGCTCTATTTCTGGCACTGGTGTGAAGGAAGTGCCAACCATGTGTCTTTAATTCCAGGAACTGCATCGCCGCCTCGAGGGGACGCCAGAGACTACGAAAACCAAAGCTCTTCAGACTGTAATTGAGATGAAGGTAGTACTTTAGCTCCGATTTTAATTAATGTGGCTGTTTACATATGATGGCAGCAACCACATTAATGCTTTGTCTATCAGTGGATTAAAAGCATTTACAAATACACGTAAAATATCAAACAGTATTTCATACTGTTTGATATTTTACACGATATTAAAGTGCAAGCGGATAGATAATTTCATGTTAATTGCATTTAAGTGAAAATGTATTAGTTTAAATTTATATTAATCCAATTAGCTGAACTTCAAAGTGCTTTTTTCCCCCACTTAGGTAGGAATTAAGTACATCTTTATATTTAATTTCATAATTACAAATATGGTTAAAGTGAAATATTGTTAAAATGTACTGCCGAATATACTGACAAATAGTAGTTTCTATTAAAACTTGTATATTGTGTATTTTAATATATTTATAATTACACATTTGCAATGGCAAAGTTGAAAATTAAGTACATTTAAAATATATTAACTTTAAATGTAAAATCAAATTACATTACAGTTAAGATTATAATCAAGTACTTTACATATGTACTCATAATAAAGTACTTTAGTATGTATCAAAATAAGTGTAAAATCTTATTAAAACATAATTTAAATTATTTAAAATGTACTTTAAAACGTAAAAATGACATAATAAAAGTTATGGAACATCGTCATGAAAGTGACACTTAAGTGGTCTTTTGTTTCATTAATATTATATTATCTGCCAGTACAGTTTTTTTAAATATACTTTTAAGATTTGAAGTACACTTTAAGTTCACAATACAAGTTCAATACAATTAAGAATACAAAAATTCTATCATCATTTCCTTACCTTAATGTTATTGCAGATTTTATTTATTATTATATCTTTCTTCTGTTGAAGATATTAAAGTGCTAGTTCACCCAAAAATTTAAATTCTGTCATCATTTACTCACCCTAAAATTGTTCCAAACCTGTAGGAATTTCTTTCTTCTGTTTAACATGAAAGAAGTTATTTTGATGAATTTTGGTAACTAAATATTTGCTGGTAGCCATTGAGTTCAATAGTATTTTTTCATACTATTGAAGTCAATGGCTTCCAGATGAGTACTACCCCAATTCCAGGGAAGTTGGGACATTTTGTAAAATGCAATAAAATCAAGAATCTGTGATTTGTTCATTCTCTTTAACTTTTACTTAATTGACAAATGTACAAAGAAAAGATTTCCAAAGTTTTCTCTGACCAACGTAAATGTATTTTTAAAATATGAACACATTTTGATTTTGACAGCTACAACACATTCCAAAAAAGTTGGGACAGGCATCTCAGTCTTTGCAAGCAAAGCTGGATCATGGCTCATCACTTTGTGCCAAATTTCACGAGAGAAGTGTCAAACAAATCAAAAATCGCATTTCGCAATGCAAAATTGCAAAGAGTTTAGGTCTTTCACCAAGTACCATACATGATATTGTGAAAAGATTCAGGGAATCCAGAGAAATCACAGTACATGGCAGGAAACGCAGGAAACCTCAGTTGAATGTGCTTGACCTTTGAGCCCTCAGATGGCATTGCATAAGAATATAGCCACATGGGCTCAGGAGTACTTCAGAAAACCGCTGTCATTTACCACAGTCTGCTTCTGCATCAAGAAATGCAACTTGAATATATGTTACTCTAGGAGAAAGCTATACATTAATTCTATGCAGCAATGCTGCCGGGTTCTCTGGGCCAGAGCTCATCTCAGATTGTCAAAAAAGGTGTGCTGTACTCAGATGAGTCCACATTTCGACTTGTTTCCTGGAAAAATGGATTTCGAGTTCACAGTCCCAAAGACCAAAGGGACCATCCAGACTTTCATTAGTGACAGAAGCAAAAGCAAACGTCTGTCATGGTATGGGGGTGCAGCAGAGCAAACAGCATGGGTAACTGGCATCAAGTGAGACTGGACAAAAATTTTGCTTGCAAAACTTTAACAGTTAGTATCCTCAATTCCCAAACAATGAGTGAAACATTGTAATGAAAAGGAAAGTTGATGTGACACAGTGTTAAACGTGCCTCTGTCCCAACTTTTTTGGAGTGTGTTGCAGCCATCAAAATCAAAATTTGTTCATATTTACAAAATACATTTACGTTGGTCAGTGAAAAACCTTGGAAATCTTTTCTTTGTACTTTTGTCAATTAAATAAAAGTTAAAGAGAATTAATTTATTGCATTTTACAAAATGTCCCAACTTCTCTGGAATTGGGGTTGTAAATGATGACAGAATTTTTATTTTTGGGTGAACTGTCCCTTTAAGGCAGGGTGTTCATGTTTCATATAATGAAAGTAAATGGTAACCAAAAATGGCACAACAGAAAAGTAGCATTAAGTTACATGTTCAGATTCAGGACATTATTGGTTAACTTAATAGACACCAATGATGTCTTGACATCATATTTTTGCATCTCTCAGGATTCTCAGATCAGTTCTCTAGAGCGGGGCCTCAGAGAGCTGGAGGACCAGGTCATGATGCTTCGCTCCAGTAGCATGCTTAGCTGTGAGGAACGGCAGGAAGAGGCCAAGCAGATGGAGGTCTACCGCAACCACACCAAGTTCATGAAGAACAAGGTACTGCTCAGCCTACTTTAGAAGAACACATCCAGATTAGTCTCACATATGAATAACAAACCTTGAATAATTCTGTTATGTAGATGGACCAAGTTAAGCAAGACCTTTCCAGAAAGGACACCCAGCTCCTTGGATTGCAGACCAAGCTGGAGACCCTGACTAACCAGTTCTCTGACAGCAAACAGCATATTGAAGTGCTTAAAGAGTCTCTGACTGCCAAAGAACAACGTGCTGCTATTCTACAGACAGAGGTAGTAGATCAGGCCAGTGATTGGTCTTTACCCATCACACCAGCAGATTCTCTGAGCATGGCATACAACTCTTTTTGCAGGTGGATGCTCTGAGGTTGCGTCTGGAGGAGAAGGAGACCATGTTAAATAAAAAGAGTAAGCAAATCCAGGAAATGTCTGAAGAAAAGAGCACACTCAATGGAGAAATCCATGATCTGAAGGACATGCTGGAGGTCAAGGAGCGTAAAGTCAACGTACTTCAGAAAAAAGTGAGGACTGGATTTAACCAAATACATACTTTTTAAAAAATGTTACTTTTCATTACAGGAAACTGTTAAAAACAATGAACAAGATGTTCTCTTAATACACATGTCAGAAATGAGTCACCAATCCACTATTCTTAAAAAATACACAGTCATGCATGAAATCATACATTAAAAAATACATCTACGATAACCTAATGAGTAATTAATACTGTTAAACTAATGATAAAGATGTAAATCTGAAACAGATTTAAAGATAACACAACAATGATCAAAAAATAAAATAAATATAAAAATAAAATAAATCAAATCAAAATAATAAATCAAACTTTAATAAAATAGAGAAAAATAAGGTAAAATAAAAATGATAAAAATACAATAATAATAATAATATAATATACAATACTACTACTACTAATAGTATTAATGGTACTACTACTTTATTACTGCTAATAATGATAATAATAATAATGAAACAAAGAAAAATAAATAAATGACTTACCCAGCTTATTCATTTACATGTTCCCTATATAACTTTAAGCATTAACAAAGAACAAAACTTAAGAGTAAAAAGAGTTAAAATTGGATGTTCGCCAATACATAGATTTATTACAGATTACTGTAAAAACATAATATTAGGATCTATTATAAATTGATTAATGGTATTTTAGCAGAAACAAATGATTTCCATTGTGTAGAATACATTTTAATATGAGCACATCCAAAAATAACATTTTTTTATACTGAAATGCTAGTTTAAAATTAAGGTAACACTTTAGTATAGGGACCAATTCTCACTATTAACTAGTTGCTTATTAACATGCCTATTGGCTGTTTATTAGTACTTATAAAGCACATATTCTGCATGACCATATTAACTAATAATAAGCAGCAAATTAGGAGTTTATTGAGGCAAAAGTCATAGTTACTGGTTTGTTAGTAGTGAGAATTGGACCTTAAAATAAAGTACAGTATGACCAAAATTAATTTTGTCAAGATGATCCAGGTCTAAAAATATGTATCATGTATATTGGTGAATTGCCAAAGTATAAAACTTTTTTTTTTTTGTTAGCTAAAGAAGAGCAATTAATTACTAATCTTTATTATGAAGTATTTTGTATCATTATTATAAAGTATTTTCCAAAATGGTGGGGAAAAGTGCGTCAGATGCTTTGGGGTAAGCTGTGCTTTTCCTTCGAATGCAGGAAATATTATTAAAAATTGTCTTAGAAAATGATGAAGAAGATTCACTACATTAAAAGTTTGGATGTTTATAAAAATGCCAATTCACATCAATCTTACATCAACTCCTGTGTCTCAGATTGAAAACCTGCAGGAGCAGCTGAGGGATAAAGAGAAGCAGATGAGCAGCCTTAGAGAGAGGTTGAAGTCCCTACAGACAGACACGTCTAATACAGACACGGCCCTCACTACACTGGAGGACTCACTGGCCGAGAAGGTGAGGATCACCTCTAGAGGACGCTATAACACACCACCGGACTACAGGACAAATCACTGGTGCTCTTCCAAGTGGCATCAGCATGGTCGTAGACTGGAGTCGAAACATCTGCGCTTAGTTATAAACAAATTCATGCTCCTTGTATATGCTTTCTTTTTGGCACCATGTTAATGTGTTCCCTTGTAAACAGGAACGTATTATTGAGCGCCTGAAGGAGCAACGTGACCGCGAGGAGCGAGAGAAGGCAGAGGAGCTGGACAGCAGTAAAAAAGAGCTGAGGGAGTTAAAGGAGAAAGTCAGCATGCTGCAGGGAGACCTGTCAGACCGAGAGGTTAGAGATCACCAAACAGTCCTGAAAGATGAGTGGAAACACCATTAAAAACACATAACAAGATTATGAAAACATTTTCAGCTGTAGAACAACGTGCAGCTATGAACTGTGCAAAATACACTACACAAAACATTGTATTTTTGTCTTTTGTTGGGTAATGATATTAATTTATATTTAAAAATATATATATAAAAATAAAAAAGACCAATTTACTATATTAAAACTTTACAGCAATTAACTATATCAAAATTTAACAGAGAATATATATTGGGTTTATTTTTCATACCCCATTGGCAAATAGTTTTTTTGCACAAATCTAACAAGGTTTATGCTTAAAATAAGGAAATATTATTGGCCAATGTATTTGAGATAAATAAACTCAATTCAAGATATATTCTCTGAAAACAAGTTCTTGTGGAATTTTTATTCCCTAAAATATTATAATATTATATATATATAAATATTATATATCCCTAATATTAAACATATATCAAATTCAGATATTTTCAAGATAGTCTTATCACAATTTTGCATTTCAAGTTCATTTATATTGGAGTGTTAAGTTTATTTATAGTTTTTATTACATTTATTTAATATGTTGGCTTTTTTAGATTTTAGTTTAATGTTTAGTAGTTTTGTTATGTGCTTTTGTCAAATTTTTTTTTATATTACTATTTATTTTGTTTAATTTAATTAAATTTTAGTTCTGTTTTAGTTTAATTTATTTCCATTAGTAATTTTAGTGCTTCAAATTAAACGTATTTCTGTTAGCTGCCAAGGTAACAATTCTCGTTTAGTTTAAGTTTTTCATCTAATATTTATATTTCAATATTTCAATTGACAAAAATGTTTTTGATAGTTAACAGTTAACAGTAATAACCCTGCTAAGTTAAGGATATTTAGATTTTTTACTGGAACACAAGAAAAAAATACTGATTAAGAAAATGATTTGACATTTATTACGAAAAGAAGGTCTTGATGTCTCTAATATGAAGAAAAAAATACTTTGGAGTCATTATTCACATAAGATAGTCAAGTTCAAAACATGATTTTAGGCAGACATCCTATGTGACAGGTTGGTTGAGTGCCTGTCTAAACAGATAAACCGTGATGCCGTGAGCTTCTAAAGGTACATGTATGCTACAAGTGTTTGATGGCTCTATACCCGGGACCTCAATGCTGAGTTTGGTTTCAGACTTCCCTGCTGGACCTCAAAGAGCATGCGTCGTCACTGGCCTCATCTGGCCTGAAGAAAGACTCCAAATTGAAAAGCCTAGAGATCGCCCTTGAGCAGAGGAGGGAGGAATGCATTAAACTTGAGAACCAACTAAAGAAGGTGAGCGAGAGTGTATTTATTCAAAAGATTGGTACCTTATAGAATTCCAACCAGCAATCTACCATGATTTCTAAAAAACTGCAAAGGCTGAAGAAATTAATTGGTAAAAAAATATGGGAACCCAATGCATAGTATAAGTATGCAAACTGGGACGTAGCTATTACAAACTACAAATGGGAGCGTAAGAATGGCTGTATGTGAGTTTGTGTATGTTTGTGGGTGTATTTATATCACGGTGATCTATTAGACCCAGAGTGCTGCAGCCAATGCACAGGCCAACGCAGAGATATCTGAAAGGATTTCTTCACTTGAAGCTGATGTGGCCAGACACCGAGAAGACTCCGCCAAAGCCCAGGCTGAAGTTGATCGTCTATTGGACATCCTGCGTCAGATGGAGAACGAGAAGAACGACAAAGACAGAAAAATCAGTGAGCTGGAGAGGTCAGTCTGTTTCCCTGATCGGCTTGATTTGGTGTCCCCTCTTTTTAAAAAAAATTTGATTATTTGTCACATTGGAGAAGCAGTACAAACGTGTTACGTCTTTATCTCTTTTTTTGCTGCCATGTTTAAGCATCGCCGTCAAAACATTTTCAGTGTCTGCGTTTGACGAGGTTGATGTTTTGACTGGGCTTCTTTCCCTCCCCTTTGAGTTTTGCGTTGAAGCACTGATCACGTGTGTTTTTTTCTCATGCTGAGTGGCCATTGAACTTCTGCTTTGTCTCCCTTTTTTCACCTGGAAATGTGTACCTAGTGTGACTTCCAGGTTAGTAAATACGTGTACTTCCACACACATAAATGGAGTCCTCAAGAACTAGAGCAAAATCTGTTAAAGACACCATGAAATCAAAGTTTTGTAGCTTTAAACTAGTGTATACTTAAATTTTGAAAAGACCTAAAAGTTAAAAAGAGAAAAATAACTTTTTAAAGATGTGCATTTAAAATATACAGTCTTTCTCTTCCAGGAAAACTGGTAAAAAATATTAATGACACATCTTGAAATAGATAATTTTTCTGGGGATGCACCAATATTAAAATTCTGGCCAATAATTATTTTTTATCTTATGACCTATAAATGATAAATTTTACACAATTTTTTCAAAATAAATTAAAAGTAAAACGCTAAAAAAATTTAAATAAATAATTTTAAATGCTACATGTGAATTTAGGCATCTCAACAATATAATGTACAATATGAGAAATTGCAATTCATTTTGAGATTTGGTCAAGATTACACTTAACAGTGTTACTAAAATATTAGTGTTTGTTAAAGATTAACTTTAAATTAGTTTTAGATGACAGCAAAAGTTGTTTAAATATAAAAATAGGGAAAATGAGCATGAAAATTATTTAAATTAATATTAATATTAGAAATGTATATAATTATATAATACAATAAAATTACATATCTGATACCAGATCAATTTAAAAGTCTTTTTAAACAATATTATTGTGCATCCATTTTGTCTAAACACAAGCTCTCTAGAATAAGATTGTCCCACCCCTAATCCCTGTCTTGAAAATTCATGGTTGAAAAAGTTTTTGCCTATTAACAAAATAAATAAATAAACACAAAAACAAGCCCTTCGTTATGTCCCTCAGAAAACTGCTTTCGTCAGTCGATTTCATGGGGTTTTAAGTGAAAAGAAAGCAAGGGAATGTATTTTGTTCCTCTGTTTAATCCCTGTTTTAGCTTTATGACTAGCACAAGGAAGTTATTATTTATGTGATCAGGCTTAGTGATATTTATTAACCAATAATAATACCAGCTCTTTTTCCAGCTATTAAATAGTCCCCTCCACCCCAAATCTCTTAAACTCTTTATTTTACTATTAAACCCCAGAGAGTTCCTCTCAAAAGCGCGCTTCATGTTTATGTTTCAGGCAAATGAAAGAGCAGAGTAAGAAGTCCTCTGGCAAACACAAGGAGCTGTCAGGGAAAGGCAGAAATGTCAACGATGGCCCACAGCAGGTGAGACGTACAGAGAGATAGTTATGACAGCTTTGTCATAAGCTCCTCTGTTTTGACAGATCGCTGTATATTTAAACATTGTCAAACTGTGCTGGTGTGCATATGATGAGCTGAGCCCCGTCTACCTCAGGAGTCCCTGCGGCAGAAGGCAGAGCGCATCGAGGAGCTGGAGGAGGCTCTCAGAGAGAGCGTTCAAATCACTGCCGAGAAGGAGATGGTGCTGGCGCAGGAGGAGGCTGCACGAACCCACCAGGAGAAACAGGTCAATACTACAAGACTTACTATTTCAGAATCGACTAGTGACTCCTTAACTATTCGATGCATCTCGCAAAAACAAAAGTGTTGCGTTTATAATTTTGTTCAGTGTATGAAATGCCACCCTAATGTTCTTAACACAAGATGCTCAAAATAAGAGTGAGTTGTGATGCAGTTGTCAAAGACGTCTGTCTCTATGTTGATGTGGCGATAGTGCTTTTAAGGGGATGAATTTAAAGACGCAACTTCTTAGAGAGTGGTTTACTGTGAAAACTGTCTAAAAGCTAAAGCACAGCATGCTGGTTTTCAACCAGGGGGCCTCAGCTAACGTCCAAGATGATTTAATTGAATTTAAAATAAGATAAGCATTAAAATAAACCAAAACCATTAAAAATCAAGTTTTTTTTTCTTTAAAGAACCATGATTTCCACAGTCTTGAAACTGCCAAATTTTAGTAAAGTGTGATTTCCAGACCTAGAAAAGTCAAAATAATTACAGTAATTTAATGAAATCTTAAAACTCAATGGGCATTTTTATAATGATTTTCTTCTTTGGGGGTGGTGGTAAAAGTCCACTTAATAGCAGGAAACTACAAAAGCCATGGGGTCTTCAAATATTGTTGTGGACAATGGGAGGGCCTTGGAGTCGAAAAAAGTTGACAACCACTGAGCTACCATGCTAATCAAAGCACCACCACTAAAAATATCAAGACTAGAAAAATAAAAGTGGTAAGGTAAGTTGGTCAAGCTGGATTTTGGAACATGGTAGTCGGTTTCTTGTTGGTCCAAGGTAGTCTACCAGGACTAATCAACTTGAACAAGATGTTCAACCAGGTTGAACTCTGCCCCTCTAGCTGATGGACAATCTAGATCAGCTTGGACCAGCTAGAAACCATTTAATACCATCAGAAGCCAATCATGCCTGAATTTTCCAGTAGAGATTAGCTGATTTCTTATCAAAATGTTTAGAATCATGGCACCTGTAGTAAGCAAAGTCAGTGTTTAAAGGGGTCATGAACTGCTTTTTTTATTTTGTACTGTTCTCTAAGGTCCACTTATAATGTTATCAAGATTTTTACATCAAAAGACACAGTTTAGAAGTAATAAGCTATTTTCTGTTTTGTTTTTAACCCCCCTCATCTGAACGCTCTGTTTGATTTGATTTGCCAATCTATGATTGGCTAACAGTTGTGTATGTTTGACAGCCTACATACTGTACATCATAGTTGGACACAGCTGTGATTTAGGTTAAAATGCATAAATACATATCAAATGATCTGTAATAACAGACAAAGCAATAGTGACCACGTAATAAAAACAGTTACTCGCACTCGGATCCAATATAGCTGGCACAGCATCGTCTTTTAGTTTCAATCTTTCTGAAAATCCCACGTGAATTGTGCCTTGTTTGTAAAGGAATCTGCAGTAAAATGAAGTGAACAAAGGACCGAGTTCTTACTGACGTGGCCTGGCACTTCATTAAAAATAAAGTTCATCAAATGCCTCTCTTGTCATTTACCTACTATGTGCGAATCGGTGGGCAGGGCTAAACAGGCAGTGATGTAGAAGCAGGTGTTGATCTTCTGCGGAGGTGGAGTTTAGCCACACTATTACATCATAGAGTGACACATTCCACAACCTGTCGTTTTGGCAGTTTGGCTTCAGTGTAAGCTGTTTTTAGACTAACGAGAAAGTTTTGAGTTCTGAAACTTACAGGATGTTTTTATAGCACAGTGACCTTTTATATATCAAAAGATCAAGGGAATTTTGATTTCTCAGTTCATGACCCCTTTAATGCTTTTCGCAAAAAACACTTAACAGATAACTGATCATGATGTGTTAGAGCAGGTCATATGGTATTTTAAAGTGTCCTAATATTGTGTTGGAGTCCCTTACAACAGGTTTAAATGCATCTAAGGTCAGAAAACATTGTAATTTTCTCAGAATATACATTTAATATTAGAGTAATTTGCCAATGATTTCGAAACAATTCGTTCCAAACAAGTTCAGAGCAAACCCCGCCCTTCCATAAGCCTACTTTGCTCTGATTGGTCAGCAGGCCAAGCCTGTTGTGATTGGCACAGAGAGGAGTCCTTGAGCAAGTTAGCGAGCGCTACCATTGACAAAGCACCTTTACATAAAACAAGAATATAGTGCTCCGATCCGTTCTTATATTAATGACATAAAATACAAAAACACTTATGCAAGCGAATCGTGCCCACAGCTAAAGTTTAGCTGCTAAACTGTGAACA